GTTAGACCTTTGAGCCAACGGCATACCCCTGACACATATACTTATTTTTAAAAAATCAAGTGTTTTATAAAAATAAAATGGTTGATTAAAATAAGTAACTCAATAATCGAACCTCGAGTAATAATTAGTGGTATACATTGGTAACTCACAGTGATTGCTGTCCACCTTTCAGGCGAGGGATTTATTATTTTTCTAAGTACTCGCAGAACAGCTTCAGACTAAATTATGTACATAATAAAATATACCTGGCTACACTGGAGCTTACTGAACAACTGTAAAGTAAATTATGTACATAATAGAATTACGTTGTCATGGTTATAGCAGACTATAAGATCACGTAAGTCTAATTATTGATTAATTATTTGTTATTACTAGATACTAATTGCTAATTAGTTTTTTATCCACTGTTGCGACTGTTAATCTACTGTCGTCTTCAGAAAGTCTTAAAAAAAGGGCCGGGTTTTGTTAGTTACCGAAATTCGATCCAGGATCTTTTTTTCATAGAAATGTTTGAGATATATTTATTTGTTTCAAATGTCTTAATGTGGATTACCAACTAAAGCATTGTGTCTCAATTGAAGGTAAAACTGTGTTTTAATTACAGAAATCATTGTTCGTGATCTGTAAATATCTTATTGTGTGATTTCACTGTTTAATCAGAATATGGTTGCCCTTTGTCTGATAGAAGTATATTCATATAGAAACAAAGCTATAGATAAACGAAGGTATGTATGTACAACATATCTTTACACTCCAGGACTCAAGATGTTTGTTGATCTACTTAGAATTAGTTCAGGTACAAAGTAAAACTTATCTTTACACTTCAGGGCTCAAGAAGTTTGTTGATCTCCTTAGATTTAGTTCAGATACAAAGTACAACTTACCTCTACACTTCAGGACTCAAGAAGTTTGTTGATCTCCTACGTATTAGTTCAGATACAAAGTACAACTTATCTCTACACTCCAGGGAGCCTTTCGAACTTTTAGAAACTAATTTTTACACACAAGATACATGGATAAATCAGGAAGTAGCAAGTTTCATGATCATTTGTATAGATGTTTACATACGTAAAAAAAAATCATGTGAATGAATATTTTATACTCCGAAACGTTTCTTGAACACATGGATAAATC